TTATTTTTTCCTGTGATTAATATAGACTGACCGTATCAATCATAAAAAAGGAAAGAAATAAAAGTAATCCTCTTGGAAATTTTAGTCTGATAAAATAATGTTGTTATTGTTATGTCTATACACAAGGACAAATCTGGAAGGTTTATTTGAACCGTAAACTATTTAGTGAAGTACAAAATTAAATATTATTTATATAAAAGTCTAATTAATACTTGTTAATAATCAGACTAAAGGGAGTTCGGACGTAGTATATTTTTTCCCTAGCTATGGTCCCTCCCGTACCATTCCCCTCCTCCGGCGCTACGCGCCTCGGACGCTCGACCCTCAGTAAGCACTTGCTTAAGATTTGCTTCGCCACTGTAAGGGGTCAGTACCGGGTGTCGGTTATCAGGGACTGGGTGAGAAATACACCTTTCAGGGTCCATTAGGGGTTGAGTACTCGTGACAACATTGTCAGGTAACTCTAAAGGACAGGTAAATCTCTATCTCTCTATGAGCGCTCATTAACACTTCTTCACACCTGCAATCAAACTTTACACACCTAATTGGACTTTCACATTGGGCAAGACTGTGGTTAGTCAATATTTCGATAATTGTTTCTCTGAATTATTATGGTGAAAATAGTTATTTCTTGATAATGACCGTGGGAACGACCTGTACACAGATGCTGAATCAGGACCTTACAAATATATATAAAGACCTACCGAAGACATTGTAAAAATTAATGTATCTATGTAATATATTGGTCTCTTGTCTAAATATAATCCCCTGAGTTACACTAATGATAATGAGTTACTCAGACGAGATTAGTGAGTATAATTTGACGCCCTAATCTCCAGACGATGTCTTATGACGTCACACGTGTACCGCTATCACAATTCATATCTCGACCAATAAGTAAAAACAGAATGAGAGAACATTTGATACAAATCTCTTTAAATTTTTAAATGTTAGCATTTTATTTTCTTCTTTTAAATTTGGACACTTTAAGGTTTTATGCTTCCTTACATATTAAGGTGTGATTCGTGTTAGAGTTATCGTTCTTAGCAATAATGAGTATCAATTACATCAAACGTGTTATCACAATCTAATATTGTATAACATTAATTTTCATGAAATAACGTTGATTACGGCCTTCTGGAATTAAAATAATCAGAAAAAAACAAAAGAACTCTTTACAAGAAATCTCACTCACCACGTCTGTCAAATGGTTTACGCTTCCTCCCTCTTCAGATTCCAAATATCAACTGATCTAGTCCTGTAAATCACACGTGACCTCTTATTCTGATGTTTATAGAGTACACGTGTGTAGTTGATGAATATACAACCTGTCCGAGTATTGACGAAGTTTATCCAAACCTCCCGACCCTCCCGTGTGTCGGCTACTCTACAAAGGTGAACTGGCCAGGTAGATACAACACGGACAGGTGGACAACCATTGAAGCCAGTAGGTTAGCCCCGCCCCCTCCAAGCGCTCCCCACTCCGTTGGGAGATAATCGGCTAGCGCGTGGGTACATGATTACTTTGTTATTATAACACTCACACTGCGTCGAGACAGGTGTGATAGGGGCGGGGCACCCAACGGAGCGAGGTTAGCGGGGCCTAGTCTCTTGATCATCTTCATCAACAGTTAACACAATAATGCTCTCTGCTGATCGAAATAACGGTCATGTTACGTTGCTATGAGTCAGAAAGTTAAACGTTAAATCAGCATCGAATTAAAAACTTTCATGAGAGATAGATTATTCTTCAAGAGGGCATTACCCTGACTTTATTTTTAGCAGGTAAAGCATCTTTCGGCCTCCATAGTCTGATTTCTTACCAAGAACTTTAAAGGTCTTTCCTCATGTCGTGTGAAAGCGTTCTATAAATTCTAATTCTATTGTGTCAATATACTTTTATATTTTAGTCAACTATAAAAGCTTATAGTGGTTTTCTTTTAAAGATGGGAGTGTCACATTAGTTACTGAAAAATAAATCTTGCAATCAAGTGCCAAGTACAAGGAGATGACTCAAGTCATACTAGCCTCGATTGATAATTGTATTGACGAAAAATCGTACTGAGAGTCGAAATTAACAGACGTTCTAGTCAAGAACAAGAGACTTGCTAATCAAGACTTAAAGATTTTTTGGTAAGGATTAAGGACTGAACTTGACTTATTAACGACAGTACTTGTCATAACTAAATGACGTTGATACTGGTAAAGGCTAAGTTACGTGATCTTTGTATTGCTCAAGACTAAGGAACGTCAGTATTTGCTAAGATTAAGTGACGTCAATACTGGTCCAGGCTAAGGGATGGCAGCACTCTTCATGACTTAAAGATGTCAGTACTGACCAAGACTATATGCGACATTCTATTTATGAGAAATTATAACTAAGGAACGTCAGTACCAGTCAAGACTAGGCGACGTCATAATTGGTCGAGACTACGTGACGTCAGTACCGGTCATGACTTAGGGACGTACTATTTATCATTAAGTGACGTCATACAATTTAAGATTAAGTGACGTACTAGTCAAGACGACGTAATTTACTTGTCGATCCTTTTGGATTTACTTGTCAAGAGCAAATGGCATTCTAGACATGAATGATGAACCTAGAGTACTTGATATTGCTTAAAGATGGGCTTCATATGAGTAAAAGGCCTAATAGTTAAGAATATGGAGATGATTTGGCCTAGACTATGGTGATTTGGAGGACTTCTTAACAAGAGTATATGGGTCTGATAGTACCTTCAGCCCCCACCCATCCCCAGTAGTACTTACACCTTCAGACCCTCGTGTAGGGATATACCTAAAGTATGTTATCAATATTGTGTGATAAATGTTAATATGGAATTATCCTCCGCTATCTTGAATATTGCAATATATTTCTTGTATAATGTATACATTTAACCTATATGCTGTTTTGCAATCGGAAATAGAATAAATTAAAACTTAGTTCCTCAGCGTGGGAATCCCATTTTCTCATAAACAGATGTTTTGACTGTTAATTCCCAGTGTAAATGTCAGATAACGTTTGTTTGTACAGACAGTATTGTACATGTATATAATCTTTATTAGGGGTCAGTACCGGGTGCCGGGTATCAGGGGCTAGGTGAGAGATACACCTTTCAGGGTCCATTAGGGGCTGAGTACTCGTGACAACATTGACAGGTAAACTCGAAAGGGACAGGTATACCTCTCTGTACACCACTAATTAACATACCTTTACACATGTCATTAACCGTTACATCTGTAATTGAACCTGTACACGTGTAATGGATTTTACTCAGGTATAGCTAGTGGTAATGTCAGATTTTTCTGTAATTATCTATTTTGAAATTTCCTTTCTTAATTGATTAAGTTAAATGTCCATATGGGAACGACATATGATGAGTAGTACACTGATGCTGACCCTTGACCTTCACCTAAACGTTAGACAATGACTATAGGTATACAGTTTTACATAAAGCACTTGAGTTACACTAATGATAATAAGCTTCTCTAACGGGATTACAGAGTATTACTTGACGCCCTTATCTGCAAACGGTCAAAATGTATTTGGCGTATATCATAACGTGTTTGTATAGCTCACCTACATGTAAAATGAATCGTAAGTAGGCGCAGGTAGACCAAAAACAGATAAAAGGTGGGTAAAATCGTCGAAACGGAAGCTTATTTCACAAACACCTATCACGAAAACCGAAGTAATTTTTATTACTGAAATCGGAAACACAATGACAGATATCAGGACAAAGCGTATCAAACGCTGAGAAGACACAGACTCTGATATAGCTAAACACGCTTTATTTTTTTGTTGAGCATATTTTATTTACTATCTGTTTATTGAATAGCAGAAAGTTGAGAATAGTGATTAGACTACCACTGGTTCCGTTTGCATTGAGAAGGAAAAAGCACATGGTCCGGGATACACTGATATTGTATTACTTAATACATTACGGAAGTCAGCTTTAAATTTGTTATATTATCATATTTTGAACTAGACTGTTATCCTAAGGATTAATCTCTCTCCCTCCCCCCACTCTCTCCTTCTCTCGCTGTCTCTCTTCACTACCTCTCTGTCAATCTCTCTTAATTAAAGCCAATGTAAATATAAATGTAATCTGTCACCTTGAAAATTTGTATTAATATATTGTAGGGACAGGGCTTAATATAAGTTGTTAAACTTGCGTCCAACTCCCATTGTAAATAAATTCAATAAAATATGTTTAAATAAAATTTATTTTCTAGTCAACAGAACAAATTTGATTTATAAGAGTTACATCCCCTTAAAATTTATTTTGTTGAATCATCCATGCCTTATTAACAGAGCAGAGAGTCTACAGGTGAGAAATGGGCACAGACACTGATATTCCAGTGAAATATTTTACCAATTAAAAAGATTATCGGCACAGACAACAATTACATATTTTAGAGGTATAAATAGAATCTCGGTAAAATAGCCACCTATTATTGGAATGTATATCAAGCCACGGACTTAGATAGGCTAATATTTCTGTCTACACATCAAGATGGGTCCAAACATACCATTGTAACAAATTCGCATGTCCCCATTATCCTTACTACAGAGACAAAACAAGGATACCCGCGTTCTATCATACTTATATTATGTCGCTCCGGTGTGAATATTGATACGATAGGACTACTCGTCATGTCAGTTAAACAGTGATGGACCCCGAGTGACTATCCTGATCAAGGATCTATCGGAAATGATTTTTCTTTCTTCAAAATCGTATATTTTTCTCATTTCCACATTCTGAACCCCGTTTCCCACAGGGAATTTGGAATCATCTTTGGTTTCTGAATCCGCAAATGGTAAAGTATCTTGAGAAAAAACCAGATATCCACTTATCAAGAGCAGAACTCTAAAATTTGAAGGTATTCGCATGAAGGAAAAAGCACATCAGAAACTTATAAAATAACAGTAGTATTTGCAAATACCACTATAGACGTATAAAGGTCTCTGAAATCAAGTTAATAAAGATCTAACTCACCACGTATACCAAATGCTGCTAAGGTCTGATAGTTTCTTCTTCTTCGGATTTCAAACACCAACTGATCGGCCCTCCACACTCGTGTCCTGTTGTTCTGATGTTTATAGAGTACACGTGTGTAGTTGATGAGTATACAACCTGTCCGAGTATTGACGAAGTTTATCCAAACTTTCCGCCCCTCCTGTCTGTCGGCAACTTTACAAAGGTGAACTGGCCAGGTAGATACAACACGGACAGGTGGACAACCATTGAACCCAATATGTGGCCCCGCCCCCCTCCAAGCGCTCCCCCCTCCGTTGGGGGATAATCGGCTAGCGTGTGGATATATGATTAGTTTGTGATTACAACATACTATATAAATACACACAGTTGGAGCAAGTGTGATATGGGGCGGAGCCTAATTCGAATAAATAGACACATAGATTTATTCTGATAAAATTAGAACTTTTACAATCCTTTTACAGTCAGTCCTGAAATAAAAGATAATTAAATAGTAAATATACTGTGCTCATCTGATTTATATTCAACTATGCTTGAATTCACAACATTAGACGGAAGATTCAGTTCTCTGTCTATCTAACAAATACAAGTGGTCCTAAAACCGATCCTTGTGGTATGCTGCTTATTACATAGTTTCAGTCCTACTTTTCTATTTCACGACGACCCTTTTTTCTTTCTAGTAAAAAATCGGCTATCCAAGAGGAGAACCTCCCCGATATCATTTTGCTAGTTTATGGATTAGGTGTTGATGAGAAATTTTATCAAATTCTTTCATTTAAAGAATCATAATATTAATGCTTCACAACCAGCTAGAACGGATGCATTAATACAACACACGTAGCCAACACGCATAGGCTCACAATACAGTTTATACAACATGTTTTTAGCTAAAGCTTACCTCTACTTATGTCACCTCTCCATTAGAAAGTGCTCATCTTTTAATATGTTTTGCTAAATATCTATTGTGTAACTTTGCATGTCTTTTATGTGTCGGTTTTAATAGCTCATTCGAGCTAATGTTGTATTGTTTTTAATCATACCGACGTTAAATAAATAAACTTTTGATTTGATTTGATTTGATTTGATTTGATTGAACCTTTTTGTAACTCTATTTTTAACCCCTATCTGGCGGCTTTCAAGGGGGCCTTTTGGTGTCAGTTTTCTCTGCTGCGCCTCCTTGAGGACTGGCGTCAGCCTTGTACAATGGCAAGTGTATAGGTACAATCCTTTTGGACTTGTTCAGGGCTTTTGATTGCATATCTCATGGATTGTTACTTGGGAAACTGCAAGCATTTGGGCTTGATAAACCCCTTTACAGATCTCATTAGCAGTTACCTCAGCAACAGATTACCTCAGCAACAGAATACATCAGCAACAGATTACCTCAGCAACAGATTACCTCAGCGACAGATTACATCAGCAACAGATTAAATCGGACTAGACTGGGGCCTATCTGCAGTGCCTGGGAGCCGCTAAGGAAGGGTGTTCCTCAGGGTTCGATACTTGGACCGCTGATTTTGAATGTATTTTCAAATGATATTCTTGTGTGTTTAAAATACAATAGCATTTATAATTGCATCTTATGTTTTATAAGATGAACGTAAAATTTCAATTGAATGGGTTTCAAGAAATAGCATGAAAACAAATCCTAAAGAAATTCAAGTCATCAGTATTGGGGAAAAGTCTGGTCAACGTCTTAAATGATTTAATGTTGAAAACCAAAATATACCCTGTGAAGACACTGTGAAACTTTTAGGTCTAGATATAAACAGTGACCTGAACTTTAAAGACCATGTTTTTAACATTTGCAGGAAGGCATCGAAACAATTATGTGTGTTAAGAACTGGTACATTTTTATCTAACAAGGCCAAACTCACTATTTTTAAATCTTTCATCTTATCAAATTTTAATAATGTCCACTAGCCTGACACTTTTGTAATGTTACCATCACCAGGAAAATGGAAAAGATACAGGAAATAGAAATTAGATTTATTGAAAATGATAAATCATCAACTTTAAAAACATTATTGAATAAAACACAAACTCGATTTTTTAAATGTAAACAGACTAAAAATAATGTCAAAAGAAGTTTTCAAAATTGTAAAAATAATTGGCACCTGATTTCATATCTCTAATTATAATTTGAGACAACAACAGACTGCCAGCATACCAAGGGTAAAGACAGTGGGCTACAGAAAGAGATCCTTTAAATTTGAGGCAGCTCGGGTGTGGAAGAGCCTGTCAAACAACCTTAGAAGTGCGGAAAACTACCTGGGACGGTCATCTGTGTAAATGTAGGATCTGTTCCTCGTAGACTTTGTTTAAGTTCAGTTTTTCTGCGTGTTCTATGAATGCTTGTGTGTGCTTTTTGAATTTTAGCCCTGTTTTACTATTATGTGTGACTTGTATGCTTTTATGTCCTTTATGCTTTATGATTGTATATAATCTCACGCAGTATATTTTAATTTAAGTGCTTCTAGTTCCCATTTTTTTTAGTTAAAATTGACATCACTGTTCCTTTTTTTAAATCACACTAAATTAGTGTATATCCGGTCAAATTTTAAATTTTGCTATAATAACATGTATGTATATAACACTGTCATAGTGCTTAACCCTCAGCTAGTAATACTTGTGTAACACACTAGTATTCATTATTTACCTCCAGTTTATAAATTTAACTTTAAATGCTATCTGTCTGTGATATCTTATGTGCTGCTTTACTTTTGTATCTCTATTGTTTTTACCTGTTAAATTATCCTTTGATGTGTGCCTGCTATTTTCTGAACTAGCTTTGAATTTACCTGCATGCTGTTTATCCATGTTATTTCGTATTTGTATCCTTTGTTTGTCGCAAAAATAGCACTACAGTGCTAATGTTTATTGTTTTAAATATGCGACGTTAAATAAAAATTCGTGTATCTTGTATCTTTCATAAAATCCCAATACACATCATCGATATATCCTCCTTTATCCAAAATTTCGGTCCATTCATCAATAATCTTTGAAAGTTGTAACACCGTAGATCTGCCTTCAATAAAGCCATACTGTCCCTTGCTGAAATTAACTAGTTTCTGTCTCTTATATACAGTTAAACCTATAAAAAAATATCATTTGTTTAGTTGTCACATAAAGGTTCCCAAAAAACGTGTAGGGACACGTTTCTTTAATGATTGTTTTATATATCACACTTGCTATGTTATAAAATGTGTTCACATTGCGTTCATAAAGAATGTCAGAACGAGATTATTTTTATATACTGACATTTAGTGACAAGAACCGAACTCGCATTTAATTTTTGATTGTATACAAGATTTAACCACATAATTGCTATCTAAGTCCGTGGTATAAGGTAGGAGTGAAGTGCGATGATTTGTGCCATTTCGTTGTTTTGTGTTTTCGCCCCGAAAAACAAGATTGATAAACTTTTAATGTTCGATTTTCCTAGAAAGAACGAGAATTAACATTGGTTGCAATCTACCATCGTAATAAGTTCTAGTTAAATGTTGCTCTGTAATAGCAAGTAAAATCCGGATGTTTGCCAGTGTGCGAATCCAATGTTCTCATAATTAGGTGTTTCGACTGTTAATTCCCAGTGTACATGTCAGATAAGGTTTGTTTGTACAGACAGTATTGTACATGTATATAATCTTTATTAGGGATCAGTGCTTGGTGCCGGGTATCAGGGGGCTAGGTGAGAGATACACCTTTCAGGGTCCATTAGGGGCTGAGTACTCGTGACAACATTGTCAGGTCAACTAAAAACCCTCTATCTCTCAATGACCACTGATTTACACACCTTACACCTGTAGTATTGGACGTACAGGTCAATATTTTTCTTTTTCATCTATTTTGAGGTTTCCTTTCCATTTACCCATTCGTGTCTGAAGATAATGCCCATGGGGACAACACTTACCTTACATGTCCTCAACTGTACCCGTCGGATTACCAAACTAAGGACACATTTACCATACGTGAAATATCTACGCACTTTGAACATCAATTTGGACACATTTGATTTCAGTTATTTAATAAGATTCATCAGTTTGGAAATATGAACAGTGTAAATCAATACTTTGATATTATGAAGTAACAGACCATTGTAATTATGTGTATTTTTTATCACGAACTGACTGTCAAATGATTGCAAATCCTGTACATCTTGAATGTAATTTTAAGAAGAAAGCTGTGTATATGTGTATAAGCGAGGACAATTGTAAATGTATTGCTATATCAGAGACGTATGTAATATATATATATATACGTCTCGGTTATTATCAAGTCTTTATGATAGACATGTATGTTTATTTATATATACTACTCACTTTTGTTAGGATCACTTTTATTTCTGGGCAAATGTGAAAATAAATATTTCATTTGGTTTAAAGTGAGATTATTTTTGAAAAATTGGTTCTTCTTTTAATTCATCAGCAAGCAAAAATTCCAAAAATCGTAATTACAGTCGGAAAATGAGCCACAGGAAAAGGGTAACCCTTAAAGTTGATAGCAACGAGGTATTCATTAACAAATTTAAATTGAACAAAACTCATCCTAAATAAGCATCAAAATGATATCGCGTATCCGGTTTTGTGGGATGCGTTCCACTCAGCTACCAAAGCTTTTCCAGCCCCTGGAGCGTCCTTGGCTGAATATTTCTGGCAGAGAGAGCTGTTTGCAGCATTTCCCACACATGCTCGATGGGATTTAGATCCGGTGAGCGGGCTGGCCAATCCATTCGTTTAACAGTCTCTTGCAGTCATCGTTGCTCTATGTGACCTAGCCTTATCGTCCATAAGGATGAAGTCAGGGCCGATAGCGCCAGCGTAGGGTCTGCCATAGGCATCAAGGATTTCATCGCAGTAAACGGTACCATTATGGATGACATGGAGGTCAGTTTTCCCACGAAGGCTTATGCCTCCCCACACCATCACTGACCCTCTGCCATATCAGTCATGTTTCACAACGTTACCTGCCTGGAACCTCTCCCCATGTTGTCTCCATATTCTAACGCGCCTGTCGGTGAAGTCGAGACAGAATCTGGACTCGTCAGTAAAAAGAACCGGTCCCCATTTCTGAAGAGTCCAAGTTCTGTGAGCTTGGGCCCAATCTTATCGGTCCCTAGCATGGCGCGCAGTTAAGGAAACTCGTATTGCTGGTCTACGTGACCTTAAACCAGCATCATGAAGACGGTTCGTAACTGTCTGAGTGGCTACCCGGGTACCAGAAGCATTTAGGAGGTCGTTTCGTAAAGCTGTGGCAGTCTGGAACCTGTGACGCCATGCCTGTAAGAGCAAAAGTCGGTCTTGGCGCTGCGTTGTAGCCCTAGAACGACCTCCAGCATGATGTCTGGAAGGGTTTCCGTTAGTTTGGAAACGATTCCACATTCTTGCCATCACACTTTGAGACATGCTAGCTTGCAACATTCCGATGCCCCTATTCATTTCACCGTCATTTAACCGTTGTCTGGTTCGTCTTTGTGCCATATTAAAAACAACAACACGTTAAGAATATTCATCAAATCGATTTCCTTAACAATTTGAACAACGCCTTTCTTAGCCTAGCTTAGCTTTTGAAAGGGGTGTACACATGGAAAAGCGTACACGCGCTTTTATGGTTGACTAAACACACCCACACAGGACGATTTGGAAGGCTGACATATTCGCCCAAAACAGTACGGAAGAAAAGTATAATATCCTTTCTAACATTTTGTGATTCCCCCCCCCCCCCCCCCCTCAAACTATAGGTGATCCTTAGCAAAATGTGAGTAGTATATATAACTGGACTAAATATACGGAGTCGTGTAATATTTGAAACTGAAATCCCTAATCAGACTTGCTGCATTTCAACGTTGTTAAACACGTGTCATATGGAGGCGGTATGGAAGCTACATGGAGCGACGACGTCGATGATGATGATGACAATGACGGCGACGATATTTCATGAATTTTGTTGTATTTTTCTTATTTTCCTTTTCTTTTTGTTGAAAGTTCATTTTATTCGAGGACTGAACATAACGTTTGGTGTCATGTTTTTGTAGTAGGACGAGGAATATGGATAAAGATAATGCCGTCGCTGGGGCTCGAACCAGCGACCCTTGACACTCCAGCCCGATGCTCTACCGCTACGCTTAAGGGAAGTTACCTACAGCTGACGCTAAACCCAATCAATGCACATCTTTTACACTATTCCCCCCTCTTTTAATCACCAACCCAGGCTCTTTGACTCCCCGCCAAGGGTTTTCCTACCTTGAACGGGGAGGGTCAACGGCACAAGTTTGTAGTAGGACGAGGAATAGTGATACAGATAGTGCCGTCGCTGGGGCTCGAAGCGCGACCCTTGGCTCTCAAGTCCAGGTACAGGTTCAAGTTTCAAGTTTTATTCGAACTTTAGGCCATTGGCCCATCGCAGTATACAATACATATTATACACAAATCATGGACAATGTCAGAGAATGAAGACAATTATATTCCATTATAATACCATTAATTTGTTTGCCTCATAGATGAATTTTCCTAGTAGACACAATTCTTTAATATTATGGACACTCAATAACTGAACTACTTTAAACACAGATGTTTTTTTCCAATAATAGCCTTTGATAAAACGGGATATGAGATTTTGGAATTTAGAACAGACCAATAAAAAATGAAATTCGTCCTCTACTTCAGAGGGGGAGTTACACTGTTTACAATATCTACGTTCTCTAGGTATACCTTCCAACTTCTGCAGCCAAAGAATGGATAAATGTACGGATTCGAGTTAAACAAATGCGATATCCATTTGGTACCGCTGAGCTAAAGGGAAATTGCCTAAAGCTGACGTTTGTAAGGCAACCTATAGCACATCTTTTACATTTAATTGGAACATAATTATTTTCCTCGAGAATCATCAGAAATACTAACCCTTTTTGAGTAAATTATAAAATTTGTGGTAATGATCTTTGTATACTATATATAGTCCCTGGCGTCTACTAGAGCCAGCATCAGGTTTGTAGTTGTGTCTGCATATCATTATCCGTCACAGAGTTTATTCCCAGTAATTGGAGCATCACAAATTAACTAGTTTCAATTTTATTTTAATCTTGATTTAAATTACAATTGAAGTCAGTTTCCATTTGATTTCGTCAAAACTTACAAGGATTTATATAACAGTAATGCTAGCTGCGTTATAAGCACGGAATTAGATTGTTATCTCAGTCCGTGGTTATAAGGCATTGCAGTTGTAGTTTCAAAGTTTAGACATAATTGAAATCAATTAATTTAAGTAATTATTGAATTCGTATTAAATATGCTTACTTAAGAGGATACGGATCACAAGTTTCCATTACGTTTGATATGAATACAGCTCTAGGTGAAACTCGATTATCATTACTGCTTCTAAATCGAAAACCATCCACTTTGTGAGCAAACATATTCACGTCCGTCTTCGGTTCTTCACTGCATATTTAGTTCATACTAGACTGATTCAGCAGAGCGTTTTGAAAGCCAGTGTAGTAAAATCAAGCATTTCATGAACGTCGAATAAGGAAATGAACACATTTCTATTTTTAAATTTCTAAAAATAACTCAATCTCCTATAAAAGGGTGAATTTACTCGAGAATGTTAGACAGATATGTTAAGACTTTGAACATTTCACTTCTCGGTCAAGTTTTACAGTTTCGTTTAAACACCGTAAGTACCACGTTATACTGAATTAGTTAGTCAGGCATGTTCAGTTGAACATTCACACCTGTTCTAGTGCTCAGGTAGTGAATTATTCTGACGTTTTATCAACTTTTTTCATATCGGTCTGTCGTCGATTAACCGATGTGTGGGTTGATATTTGATTAATTCTGTGGGCCCCTCTGGTTCTCCTGTCGCCTGATGTTATGAATTGGGATGGATCAATAGCCACATGTCCGTTTGTTATTTTGTATAACATCATGAGCCTGGCTTTTGTTCTTCGCTGGGCTAGGGGTTCCCATTTAAGTATATTTATCATGTTGGTGACACATCCAGGCTCTCTAGATCTATGATAATTAAATATGTATCTGGCAGCCCTACGCTGTACATTTTCAATTGCTAGGACCTGGTCTGAAATAAAAGGGTCCAAGCAAGTGGCTGCATATTCTAGTATTACATAATAATATATACGTCTCTAGCTGTTTGTATGCGCGTTTTAACGTGTTGCTACAGTGATTTGCATCAATTATAAAATTCATTATCTTTAGTTGGGCTGATTATGAAGATATAGTATGGAGTTTTTAGTAGATTTCAAGCCTTTCTCCCTGCTTGATACTAACATGAGGTGAAAAAACATATTAAGTCTCCTGATATTTATTTCCAGCTGCTGTGTTTCCATCAACACTGACATACTTTTACTTTCAAGCAGGGCAACTGAGGACTATAAATTAAAGATTCTATGTTTAAAGGGAGGTAATTCCTTCAACTCAGAATTTGTCAAACTCATAGAAATTGACAATGTTTTGTTTAAAACTACCGGTTGTCGGCCATTGGTTTCTTAAGGGTAACAATTTCACAATCTTAAATATTTCAACCAATTCCTAAACTTTTATAAGTTAAGTTTTTTAATTCAACAGAATATCGGACCAGGTTTCTTGACCTGCTGTGAGTGACTCTTTGACAATGGTGAAGACACTACATGACGTGTGCCTGACATGTATCCAGAAACGCCTGGACAAAATACCAGATGTTGGACGACGCCTTCCAAATGTACACAAAGAAATTCTGCTGGAGAGACTCGTGAACCATGACATTCTCACTGAGCATTACTTCAAGGCTGTGCAGAAGAGTTTGTTTATGAACAATCTAAGACGAGTGACCCTATACAAGAGCGATCAACTTACTGATGCAATGTTAAAGACTTTAGGAGAACGTTGTCCAAGCATGCATCAGCTGACCATACACATGTGCTCAAAAATCACAGGTTTGTCTGACTTCCTCTGACATACTTATGCTCGTAATAGATAAGCCCAGGGCCCATATTCATGTAACCTTTCTCATGGTCAAGTGTGGATTTGTGCCCAAGCCTGATTTACTGTTCCGGTTATGAATTAACAAGGAAATATTATTTTGTCAATGATTTTGGAAAAAATGGAAGAGACTTAAAGTCCAATACTGTTTTCAATGTTTACATTTGAATTTTGATCGTTTGACATGATTCAAGTGAGTTTCAAGAAAGTTGGATTGAGCACAAAACCCATGCTTCAGAGCATGAGAACAGTTTCATGAATATGGCCCCAAGGTTATAATCTCAAATAATGAGTTTGGTCTTATTACAGGACCATCGCAAAGCATTTTTTGACTATTCTACTGAACTGCAATATATCTTGGTGGGCTTATTACCAGGCATGGGTTTCTTGGTGAAAACATCAGGTTTACAACTCAACAATTCTATTCTGTGTGCCTTTTGGCAAATAAGTTGAAAATGCTAATTTAATACAGATTATGAGATACCATATTTTAATCAAATAGTAACTAGTATCTAGTAGTAATTTCTAAGCCAATAACCTCAACTTGAGAAGTTTTTTTTTTGATATTGTTAGTTAATTTTTTCGATGCTGTGTAATACAACTGTACATCAATCTCATTATTATCTCATTATTAGCTCACCTATTATTAGCTCATTATTAGCTCACCTGGCACTTTGTGCCAGGTGAGCTTATGCCGTGTCGTCCGTCCGTCTGTCCATCGTCCGGCATCAATATTTTAATTTTAACGACTTCTTCTTAATAACCGAAAGGCCTAGGGTGATGATATTTGGCCAGAAGCAAACTGGGATGAAGGGCTATAAAGTTTGTTAAAATTATTGACCTTCACCCATTTTCAAGGTCACTGGGGTCAAATATGTTAAAAACTTTAAACATCTTCTTTTCAATAACCAAAATGCCCAAGGTGATGATATATGGCCAGTAGCATGCTGGGGTAAAGGGCTATCAAGTTTGTTCAAATGAATGACCTTCATCTATATTCAAGGTCATGGGGCCAAATTTTTGAAAAACATTTAACAACTTCTTCTGACTTACCAAAATGCACAGGGTGATGATATTTGGCCAGTAGCATGCTGAAATGAAGGGCTACAAAGTTTGTTCAAATAAATGACCTTCACCCATATTCAAGGTCACAGGGGTCAAATATGTTAACATTTTTAAACAACTTCTTCCCAATAACCAAAATGTTCAGGGTGATGATATTTTGCCAGTAGCATGCTGGGGTAAAGGACTATCAAGTTTGTTCAAATAAATGACCTTCACCTATATTCAAGGTCACAGGGGTCAAATATGTGAAAAACATTAAACATTACTTCTTCTGAATAACCAAAATGCACAGGGTGATGATATTTGGCCAGAAGCATGCTGAGATGAAGGGCTACACAGTTTGTTCAAATGAATGACCTTCACCCATGTTTAAGGTCACAGGGGTCAAATATGTTAAAAACTTTCAACAACCTCTTCCGAATAACCAAAATGCCCAGGGTGATGATATTTAGTCAGTAGCATACTAGGATCAAGGGCTACCAAGTTTGTTTAAATGGATGACCTTGAATCATATTCAAGGTCACAAGGAGCAAATATGTTCAAAATATTTAAACAACTTGTTTTGAATAACTAAAAGGCTCAGGATGTTGATATTTAGTCAGTAGCATGCTGGGATCAAGGACTACTATGTTTGTTAAAGTGAATGACTTTGACTTATATTCATGGTCAAGGGGTCAAATTTGTTTAAAATCTTTAAACGACCTCTTCTGAATAACCATGGCTCCTAGGATGTTGATACTTTGCAAGTTGCATCCTGAGATGAAAGGCTATAAAATTTGTTCAACTTCAACATAATGACTTTGTTCGACTTTTAATCACAAGGGGTGAAATGTTTTTAAAAAAAATAGCAGGTTCTTTTGAATGAATTTTAATCATAAATACTGATATTTTGCCTGTAGCTTTGTTTTAGATCACTTTTAAGGTTACAAGTGTGAGATTTATACCAGGTGAGCGATGCAGGCCCATTGGGCCTCTTGTTATCTCCATTCCACGGAAGGTTATTTTTTTTTCTAACAGTCATTACTACTGACATTAGTTTCAAAGGTAATTATAAATACTGATATTCCCAATTGACAATGATGAAAACTGTCCGTGTCTACACTTCACAGATAATGGTATAAAGTCTGTGACAAAAACACAGAAGGAATTGATGATTCTGGAGCTGAGGAAGCTAGCAAACTTTACAGGGAAAGGCCTGGAACTTCTCAAGTCTCCAACATTAAAGTTGCTAGATCTCCGTGGCTGTAATGCTGTAACCAATGAAGGTAGGTAAAAGCAGGTATATTCAATGATAGTCGGAATTTACAATATGATTTTAAACAGCCATCAAAACATTGACCCCTCTAGGTGTCCTCCCCCAACTCCCAAATTACACCAAACCTACTATTTTTTGTAACAATTATTTCTGTTGAAAATTCAGCAAAACTTTGCGAGTATCAAACCTTACAAAAATATCTAGAACCAAGTCAATTTTTGCCTGGGTTTCTACATTTCATTTGTGGAGAGTCTGGCTAAACTTTCATCAAGAAAATTCCTTTACAGAGGTTTTCCGTAAGAAAGAATTATTTAAATTCAGGAAAAACTTTGTTAAACTTAACTTCTGTATTGCTCTCCTCCTATAGAAAAAGACTTTATGAAACTCCGGCCTGTAAGATTGGGAGAAGATGGCAGGGAGAGAAAGGGAGGTTATCTATAAATTAATTAGATATTGTAATGTGTTAAAATTGTAATGTCTTTGAGGATTTCGACTGCTTTTATACTGATTCGGAGATTTGAAAATGAAAGTCCTAACATAACAGAACTTCAAGATAGGGGATGGGTTTATTACTGGGCATCCTCTCTTTGCATTGAAAGTGAGGAAATAGGGAACAGGCATCCTCCATACTACACGGGTTACGCTCACTTCCGCTCTCTGCATCCCTGGGATATGTCATAGCAAAATTGAAGGCATATGGCTAGCTATATGATTGGTCTAAAGTAAAAAAAACTGACCGGTCTTCAGGGCGATACCTGATCTTTGAAGATTACAGATGAGCAAGCAACACCCAACTTCAAAGCCAGTAAAGTTTACCGTTTCATGCGGACGAGAGATTATTTTGATGAATATCAAAGGATCAAACTAGTATTATCATCTGATTCGCGAGGTGGGTCACACTGAGCCTTCAATTTTTTTCTTGACATATTCCAGGGGTTCAGAGAGTGTAGGTTAGTGTATTCCCTTGAGTATCGAGGATGGGGAACAGGGGGTTCATTGCTAGGCGTGGGCTTACCACTGCTAAGATATGGTAGTTCATGATGTGCCCATATCATTTGATATTTATACAAAACAAGTGTAGTTCGTTTAAAATCAACATATGCTTGTTTTATATATTTCAGCTGTTGAAACGGTGACGAGAAACAATCCTACCATTTCTAGTCTAATAATTTATGACTGCGGCCAGCTATCTCCTCAAGTGTTTGCCTCGATAGCTCAGGCACTTAGACACAATCTGGTAGGCGATTTTATCTGTTCATTTTGAGGGATTTGTTCTCTTTAAATTTTCTTTGACTCTGCAACATTTTCTGAGTTTACATTAGCACTATTTAGCAGAAATCTTTTTACAGGTTCATTTTGAATGATTTGGAGTTAAAGATAATGAAAATTTGTCAGTAGCTTCAATTTCATCCACTTCGAAGGTTGCAACTGTGAAATTAAAACCAGGTGAACAATGCATGTCCATTGAGTGTCTTGTTTTTAAAATTGAAATAAACAGGATATTTTCATGGCTTATTATTAAGAGATGTCAGAAAAAAACCTTATTACTAATTTAATATATTTTGTTTTTAAGGAAGAAATTGAGGGATGTCCACGCCCAATGACAGATGAAAATATCACCGCTCTGGCCAGATTTTGTCCCAACCTTACAAAGTAAGAAGAGTTGTAAAAGGATTAAGCTGGATTTGTGAAACTCCTTCACTGGCGTGTGAATTTTATCTTGATTGTGACCTACATGTGTTGTGGACCTTGATGCAAGGTGGCCATCATGGATTTTGAAAGTTAAAGTTTGTTATCGCTATTTCTCTAAAAGTACTTGTCAGATCTTTCTCAGATTTCATATGCAGGTTTCCCTTAGAGCTTTCTTAAATGTCGTATATATTATTTCCATTGATCCATATGTCAGATTTGTCAGTTTTGCATGTTCAATTTTGAAATTGATTGAAGTAAAGCCTTTATTCTGACCCTAAAACTACTACATCCTTGGATAGAATATAGAACTTCTCTTACCCTGGACAGGTGTATCTTCAGAATCTCTCATCCCCTTGGGAGGGAGAAAGGGGGAATCTCAGGGGGTGAGGGCAGATTCTAAAGTTGCCAAACTTGAGGCTTTGCTGATTATTTGGCGACAATTAGGAATCTTTCCGTCTTGGTTGAGATTCCCAATCTCACCTCAAGGTGGTCAATGATTCTTTTTCTCTTACCCTGTTCACCCATGGTGTATCATATACATAATGTAATGCTAACGTTCCAGGCTAAAATAATTGTTGACTTGAAGTTATTGTATTGTTGATATGACGTCATACAGTTGTTATAAATAGGGTAATCCCCCCATCTCAACCCTAGGGTGAAACAAGGATATTTCACACCGGGAAAAGTGTGAATACACCTGTCCAGGGTAAGAGAAATTCTTGTCTCACCCGAGGGTTGAGTCACAGGGATTCCCTTCTCACTTGTACAACGTCTCATCAACAATACAATAACATGACGTCAACAATGCTTTAACATCGTGCCGTCAATGCATTGAGCCCATAACGTCAACATTGCATAATGAATATGACAAAGTCAACTGGGTAAGGGAAAAAAAATCATTCACCCCCTTGAGGTGAGATGATGAATCTCAACCCTCAGGGAAAGATTCTTAAGTTGCCAAATACTTGGCATGTCCCGTGTTTTGTGACTTAAGAATCTTTCCCTGAGGGTTGAGATTCCCCTATCTTTGGGGGCTTATTTGCGAGAGGTGGCTTATTCGTGGTCAAATTGGTACCTACATATGATAGACTCTGTATGTCTTGCTGTAAATAATATATTTCTATCTGTATACCTTTCTATTTTCAGTTTAAATCTACTTGGAAGCTCAAAACTGACTGGGAATGCTTTGCTTGAGGTAAGTATTATTTTGGACATTGATTACATTTTGTATTACTATTTGAGAGCATATTGCAGTTACATATATCTTTGTAAAAATGATATTGTATCCCTTACACAAGTCGAATTGCAAAGTTTGATAATATGATACAAAATTATCATTTACTTTTGAATATTTATCTGTAATTGTGGTTTAATTTGATAGAAAGGAGATATTCAGTGCTCGAATTATGCAGCAAAAACAGTTTTGAATTTGCACCATTCATTCATATAAAATTGGCAGAGGTGAATTATTTGTTATAAATTGTCAAAAGGCAAATATATTATAACGGTTGACAATATTCACATGTTACATTTGTGGAGTTGTCGGTGGTGCATATCTCCACCAGCCCTACACCGGGATCTAGTAAAATTTTACGTCAAGTTGTTTAACAATTTTCAATGTTAATTATGGATATATTGATTGCGTTTAGTGATGAGCAATCGGTTTAAAATCATAATCAATAATCAGTTTGTAATTGGAAGTAGTAAACTGATTGATGATCAATTGCATTATAATTGTATCGGACTGAATTCCCAACTAAAGTGACAACACTATGGTCACACTAATAGACAAAGTTATTTACTATACATAAGGTTTCCTCATTTAAATATTATTGGATTTCTTTTTTATGGTTTTCTAGTATTACTATCAATCATATTATAAAGATATAAATATAAATATTGTAAACTTTTTACACTTGAGTTAAGTAATGAACAAATTATTTTGGTTATGGAATTCGTAATTGACAATTAGAATTGGAAAGAGTAAACCAATCAGTCTTCAATTATAATCAATCATTGGCCTATCACAAATAGAACATTTCCGAAAAATTGCCAGCAGGCTTGTACTCTTAAACTTGAAACAGTACACCCCTGGACGTATGCTAATCATTAATAATGATAATAATAATTTGAGGTTCTTGTATACCGCATTATCACAACCTAGATTGTAGGTTCACAAATTATTATCCGTGGTTATAGGGCCTTTGCAACCAGCCAATATCTTTCTCAACTCCCTAGGGAGCATACAGCCGGTGCTGCCATTTCGGTGCTCACAGCTAGCATTCTACAATTCTAACAATGCCCAACCGGAGTCATTTACAGCTGAGTAGACTGGAACAAGCGGAGTAAAGTATCTTGCGCAAAGATACAAAACAGTGCCGTGCCGTGACTCGAACCCGCAACCCTTCGTTCACGAGGGGTTCTGTTCTTCGACTAACAGATATCTTGTATTGACAGTTATCCCAGGGATGTACCAGGTTAGAATCGCTGGACCTATCCTACTGTTACGGGCTGCAGGAATCTCCCGACAACCAATTCCTCTGGACCCTGCCCACCTCTCTCACACACCTATCTCTCTGTGGAGTTCTACTGGCAGATGAAGATCTGGTCGTAGAAACTTTACAACGGTTGAGGCATCTCAAGTCTGTAAGACTGTGTGGCATTCCTGCCATCAATGACATCACCTTTCCAAAGGTACACAAACTGCCAAAGCATCTGTTTTCTCAAAGAAAAGTGTGAAATCGTAGTAATGAATATGATTGATTGGGTTTATGCAAGTAGAACTTCCTCAACAAATGACGGTTTTCTGTAAAGTGTGTCTTACTAAAGGTAATTTTTGAGATATATATTTTTTCACAAAGTCCTTATTTTTTTTTTTTAATAAATCAATTTTGCTTCGATAACACTGAATAAATCCTGATAATTGTTCCCAAATTTTCCGCTGAGGAATGAAGAACCATAACTACCGGGACCAGACCGCAGATGATGGGTTACACCCTGCAGTCAACTTATTACTTGTACTCAGTAGCAAAAGCTACCTGTACCCAATGGTTGTAAGTCTCCAAATCAGTAGTCATCACCACAAATTACCAATTTTATTATGGGTAAAAATTGTGTCATCAAAAAATATCGTCAAATCTAAAGTAGTGTTGCCATTTGGCGAATTGGCGATTGTGAATGTGATCCCTGTGTCCCACAAACAAGGGCCACAAATGCTTTGAATAATAGCCTAGTAAGTCATTGGTTTTGGTTTCTTTTTGTATTTGTTATGCTTGGTGAAATAATTTTGCTTTTGATTAGAAGAATGATTATGTAGCGACAAATGCTGTTAAAATTGATTGATCAAGTTTGGTCATAGGGTTGGGAAGGGGGTGTCAGTAACAAAATCAAAATGGCAGCTGTCCTATGCTTCATTTTTCAAACCAATATTTTGAAACCCATGGAGTACCTAATTGTCAACTTTTAACAAATTAGGTAACGTAATGCTACCACCTTAAATCCTTTATCTGTGTGGAATCAATATAGAAACATGTCCTCTCTCAGTTAGAATGTAGACATCATCAAATACAATATGGAACGTCATGATGGTGCTGCTGAGAAAATATCATAATTCATAGTATTTTGTACAAAAATCATCATTGATTTCGTAAGGAAAACATTGCATGTCTGTTTCTTTGTATGGTTTGTCCTTAACCCCTACAGGATTATATAGGGAGTCAGTAAGACCCATACACAGTAAGGCCCATACAAATCACATAGATATCAACTCATTCACCCCTGAAGACACATTTTAACTCTTCCAATTCATAGGTTGGAATAGTTCATTATGAAATTTCAGGGGTGAATCACTTAATGTAACCACTGCTGTTATTGTCTTTTGACAGATCCTGCAACACATTGGAGGGAGCCTTGAGGTTATAGATATCAGCGGATCACGGGTCCTGACAGACGTGGGTCTGGCAGCTGTGGCCAAGTACTGTACATGTCTACTTGAACTCGACCTCAGTATCTCTAAACTGTTGACCGGTCACACCCTGTTGCCCCTCCTACGGGACCCAGAGAGAGCTCCACTCCTTAGAAAGATTTTCTTGAGTGTACAAAAGGTACTTATACTCACAGGAACATGGGGCACCTAGGTTGCATTGGTAGGATTGAACTTGAAGAGCGTTTATAAATGTACATACTACAGTGGAACCCACCTATTATGATATTCTATTTGCTAGAGAAAAATATGATAACCAATGTATATTATGATAAATGATCAAGCTGTTTTTCGATCGTTTTTAGGTTGTCTGAACTGGAAGTGAGATGCCCTATAATTATCAGACATAGATAGATGTGGAAATATGGGAATATATAAATATAAATTGATTTTTTTATAATTGAAATAAATTGTTAATTGTGATTTATATCATTGTTTAAGAAAAATTTGAGAAAATTGCATTTTGCCTTTGTAACAATCAGTATGTAAATTCCACTTTCACTTTCAAATGACTTTGAGCAATTCCTGAGAAATATTGTTATACTACATGCTAGCTAAGGACACGGTAATGTAAGTCAGTAGGGTGAAATAAGTGATATAAATAGTGACGATTTACCTATTTTGTGATGAAAAGTTGTGTTACATTTTGTCCCAGGAGCGTAATAATATTTTGCCGCGCTATGTTAAATTGAAAGATCAGCACGTCATTGTTTGTCTGACTTTTTGTATCCTTACAATTTGTAAATTCTTATCCCTATGCAAGATTAAACATTAATCAACTGAGCAGTGATAGTCATTGACCGAGTGCAATGCTGGGAATATAAACGTAGATGTCTGATCATAATACACCGATATACCAACTCCAGCACATATAGGCATATGTTACACACACGGAGGCACATCCTTAAATGATCTTATCTGTTAATAAGATGCTTAACCGAATAAACCAAACAAGTCATAATATCGGCACCCTAACCAACTGATCTAGCTAATTAGCAATATTTCCCTGGTCCAGCCCAACTACTTGTATATTAAAAAAACACAAAATTAAGGGGAGATCACTCTATGTATAGAAAAATCTGGGGTAGAATTCTTCAGTGATTTGCCTGCAGTGTGACAGGAATTTTTCAGGTATAATTTGAATGAGGGGATATTTTCATATTAAAACTGAAAGCAAAATATGCACATTCTGGAATTCAGAATGATCATTTATTGATAGAGTGTACAAAACTATTACTATTTCCACAAATTGAAATTGTGATGCAACTGAATCCCGTTGTTGAAAATAATAGACATCATTACAAATATTGTTTGATCATTAGATACAGGCGGAAGTGCTGATGGCAATGGCAGAGAGGTGTTGTAACCTGGAGAAATTTGATGCCGCCGGAGTGGAAAAGGTGTCGGATCACTTGTTGATGACAATGGCAGCGAACTGTCCGCGACTGAAGCACGTCGGAATAAAAGGATGCAAACAGGTACAGACATCTTCAGAACTATACTTTAAGAACAAGAGGGTAAACTCACCACAGTTGAAGAGTTTAAAATGCTGTCGGATATACAGCAGATAGAAAAGAAAGTCTTGGGAAGGGCAAATTCAACACGGAGTAATAACATTTATTATAATAGCTTTAAGTGTATCCGAATTGATTATTTTATGAATTATTTATTACTGTGAAATCACTAACTTTCTAGTTTTTAGCTCCTCTGGTCCAAAGGACCATGGTGAGCTTATGCCATACTGCAGCGTCCATCGTCCGTCAACTGTCATTCAACTTTTCCTTTAAAACGCTACTTCTCCTGAATGGCCCAGTAGATTTTGACAAAATTTGGTCTGAAGCATCCTTAGGCCAAGGGGACTCAATTGTATAAACAGTGGATGTGGCCCCCCTGGGCCCAATAAGGGAAATAGAGGTTAAACATTTAAAACACTTTTTCTTTCGTATGGATTTAAGGATTTTATCTGAATTTAGTCTGGAGCATCCTTTTCCCAAGTGACTCACATTTGTATAATCAGTGGGCGTGGCCCCCCTGGGGGCAGAGGGGTGGGGCCCAATAGAGGTAATAGAGGTAAATCTTTAAAATCCTTCTTCTACCATAGGGATTAAGTTGGTCTGGAGCATCCTTGGGCTAAAGGAACTCAATTTTGTATAAACAGTGAGTGTAGCCCCCCTGGGGGCAGGGGGGCGAGGCCCAATAGGGGAAACATAGCTAATTCTTCAAAATCCCCCTTTTCCTGTAGGAATGACAGGAGTTTTGTCTAATTGCATATAAATATAACCCCTGAGTAACCATGTAAATACATGTACACTACCAGCAACATCTAGCTATTTCAACTTCAATTTTGCTAACATTTTCAGGTGAGCGATACAGCTCCTCTGGGCCTCTTGTTTTTATTCCGTTTATTTCGTGGGTAATCTTCATCCACAAAATCATTGGTCCACGAAATAATTACAAGTTTGATATACAGCAATTCTCCGTTTGAATGGGTATCTGTAAACCATGAATTCATGTACTCACGAAATGGTGTTTTGTCTGGAAACTATGAAATTTGGGCCCCATGAAAATATATGATTTCACATTGTTTGGTGTTTATGTGAAGGGAAGGTTTAAAATTGATTTGTTCATAAAGCTTACATTGACCACTGCCATTTAGTGGCCAGGGAGTGGGGGGATATATAGTGTTACCCGTGTAAATCCATCTCTCGATTCCTTTAAACTGTGTATCTTCAAATATAGAACACCAACTATCCCTTCATTCTGACATCCTTTCTCCCTTCACAAACGTACATATTGCATAATTTTATATGTACATCTGGTTAGAAATGTATATTTTCTTTAAAAAAAATCAATGTTGATTGATAAATTAGGTTTTGTGTTGGTTGAAGAAAACCCAGTTGATCTAGCAGACCAACACCTTTTTATCTCCAATTGTGAAGTACCATCCCACCTCCCTCCATTGGTCCTACCTTTGAATCATATCTGATGTTAAAACACATTCTTGATAATTTACATAGCGAGACTCTTGATTCATAATGTTTCAGTGGTGTTCTCATTTTAGCATGTTTCCTGCTTTAAATACTGTATACAGAAAAAACTTCACTGGTAAAATCAATATCCACTCACCATTAATGTTGCCTTCTGTTTTGATTATGTTTATCATTTTTTTGCTAAAAGTTTGTTGTTATGATAAATTCGCCCTTCTTGCAGAACGCCAAAATGATGATCAAACTTCGGCGAAAGTTGTCCAGTATATAGCATAGCATTGAAATATGATTACAGTAGTTGGACTTCTTGTGTATTATTTTCTGTTGCATACATTAATTTGTGAGTGCGCCAAATCATGAATGTGCACTTAAAATATGATGAGAATATGATTAAAATATGTTTTTTTTTGAAGATTTTGTTTCAAAATGTTGAAAATATTTTGATCTGTTAAAATGTGATATTATACTAAAATTAAGTGCACTCGAGTCAGCATTTCAGCAGTAATTACTCAGTGTTGGTTATATTTACCTGTGTAGGTGACTGACACAGGAGTGTGTGCGATCGCTCGTTGCTGTCCTCTGAAGTCCCTGGTGTTGTCGGGGATACAGTCGATCACTGACAAAACAGTGTTCACTGTGTCAAACCACTGCCACAACCTCGAGGAGATCTATCTCAATGGCTGCTCGAACGTGTCCACGACCACCATCAACTATCTTATAGTGAGTACCAGTTACCTTAGTGTTGAATTACTGAGAGCATTTCATTGTCTGAAAATGGTCCTTGAAAGGGTTGGAATGCATGGTTGTTGTCTGTGCAGTGGCACAGCAGAATAATATTTCTATCGGTGTACGACTTTTCCGGTATTTTTATCAGATTTTTGGGAACAAATTAAATTATCAAGGATAACAAGATTTGATTGTTCATGTTTCAGTCATTGGTAAAAGCTATTTTGAGAAACGTTTTCTCGCAAAATTTTCATTGAATCTTTTCCAATAATGCACATAAAAAAGTCGAAATTCAACATATGATCGAGATTTTATGAATTCGATGTTTTTTCTTTCAATCATTAATTGATACAACTTGGTTTGTTGATTTCCAGGACAATTGTTTACCAAGAGTGTACGTCCAGCACAAGACGCCCAACCTCGTCTCGGAGCACATAATGGGCAAGAACATAGACACAGGAGAGTTCTGTCGGATGGACTTATTAATGGATAGTGGAAGTGCTAGATAGCCGTTGTATCAGGTTTCTTACAGAATGTTAACACAAAAGAGTTCTGCAGAATGGACCTAACACATATAAATTGAAATCCCAGATAGCTAGGATTCTGACAGTTTGTTGACAAAGAAGAGTTCTTCAGAATGGACCTAACACATATAAATGGAAATCCCAGATAGCCATTTTACTAGGATTCTGATTGTAACTTTACAAAGAAGTGTTCTGCAAAATGGCCAAACTAATGGTTGGTGGAAGTGCTAGCTAGCCATTTTTTGATTTTATCAGGATTTTCTGCAGGATGGACCTAAATCCTTGATGTCGTAAGTAGCCATTTTACCAGGATTCTAATAGAACCTTTTTACAAAAGAGTTCTGGAGGATGGACTCAATACATGTGGAAGTGCCAGATAGCTTTTTAATGAGGAATCTATACAGTGTTGATGTGATTTGCTAAAACACAAATTTGAATCTTTTCTAAAACTTTGATAATGGAGTCATACACGCAATATGCATATCATTATAAACACATATTTTATCACACAATAGTACATTGGCTATATTAGCACAGTAAGATATTAGCACATCAAACTTCCTTGGACCAATGAACTTTAAATATTTGTCTATAGTTGGTACTGTATGTAGATTAGAACATCCAAAATAGGTTGTGTAAAAAAAGCATTAAATATTTAACTTTTTCACCCCTAGGTAACTTGAGTAGACTCGACCATACATTCATCTGGATGAGTCCATTATGGTCCACAGTGGTGAAAGGGTTAAGAATATTGCCTAAAATATGTATTTGTTTGAAGAGATGGGCTGATGATCGATTAGTATCAAAAGTCAATCGGTTTGCCCATTCCGATTCTGATTATAAATTCTGTAGTCGATATAATCATTTAATTATTGAAATGTGAGTGTCAAATGTATTCAAGGAAAAGTATGCATTGAAAGCCATGTATACTTATGATATTTACTATATGATTGACAAAACTGCATAAAAGTTGCTTGAAATCAATTCATTATAAAAAAAAGAAACCTAATGCATAGTTAACAACTCTGTCTATTGATGTAACAGTAGTGTTCTCAGTATATTTGGGTAGTCAGTCCCATAAAGTATTAAGTCATAAACCGATTGTATAATCGAATCATCAATTGGTTTACTACTTTGAATTACAAACCGATTTACAATTTTGATTTTATACCGATAGCCCGTCACTATGTGTATGGCATCTTTGTTTTATTTCAAGCATATAGCTGAATTTGTTTTTGGTGATTCAGACCTAAAAAGTCAATTTTGTCGAACATAACAATTTTATCATAAGTACTTTAGAGTATATTATAGCATATAGGTACGTGTATTAAAGAAGCTACCAGATCTCCGCCTTGGTCCCACTGTATAATTTCTGTGAGGGTTGAGTCCCCAGTAATATAATCTGAAATACATTAAAATCACGGCATATTGCTACTATTTGTAAACCAAACTTAAATGCTTATCAAGGAGTTTGGCAAACGACTGAAGGAGATATTAATGGAGATTTATTAAATTTTAATTTTCCCATTGAAAACCATATATATATATCACGATTATGGCAGAATTCTAATATTTTTTACGAGTGCTTTATGCAGAAAACAGGTATGTTCTGCCATACAAGTGAGTTGTTCAATAGGACACCAAAGATTCGTTTGTTACATTTTCAAAGTACCTAACGTGGCGACAATGTTACTGCATGATAAAAGATGGGCATAGTATACATAAAAAGGTATTTTAAGATAATGGAAGTGTGAAATATATTGCCAGTAAACGAGATGGCAGATTGAATATGTTTAATAATATCAAGTGTAAATGTACTTGATGTTAATGCTAATGTTTCAGCATTGTTTAGTTTATTTACGCGAGCATTATTTATTGTTATTACTAGAATTTATCTTTTGATTTAAACAAAGTTGCATGCTTTTGTATTTCAGTTCTAAAATTATTCACTTGTAAAATGTTTTTCGGCACAGACACATAACTATTTAAGGTTTGTAGGAATAGAATAAAAAGATATATATAAAATATATATATATAAATTTATATAACAGATATATATATACATGTATATATAAAATGGGTAAATTAAAAAAGACGTTTTAGATGTTACATTCTTCACTGACATTTTAATACCAGTGTGAAAAATTTAGTCTGAAATGTAATGTTTTTCTTTTGTTAATTTACCCATTGCTAACAAAATTACCATGTTTTAATTGCGATTTATATTTATGTATTCAACACAGTAGAATTATACCACATCATATCCTAAACCTTTGGACCAACATTCATTTATACATTATGTCAAATAATTTGATATAATTTGTGTTTCTATTTTTATCATATCATCATTTTAAAAATAGTTTGATATCTTTTGTCTGTGATATAGATATATATTCATGTATATTCAAGTCCCACTTAACAGAAACAACTTTAAATAAAGTTTTAATATATATAGGTCAGTGTTTGGTGGTTTTCAATTTTTCTGGACAATTTCAAAAAATATTTTTTGAGAGCCTGTCACTTCAGTCCTAGTCTCTGGTAACAGAATAGAAGGGGTGAACTTGACATGAATATACCTTAAGGATCCCTGTCCCACTATCAAAAATTGTAACTTTGCTTTAGAATTCCTGGCGTAATTCTTACATTTATAAAATACTTCTAAAATCAAATCTTGTAGAACTTTTATGAAAAAATGAAGAAGGAATAAAGAAGAAAAAATCTGCAACAGCGTTCTGAGTGTAAAAAAATATTAAGGCGAACTAGGACTTGAGCCATGAACCCTAACCCAGTCGCGCTAAAGTAATATTCATAACGAAACAAAAGTGAGGTTACGGTAATGTATGTACGAGAATCTGTAGTGAAATTTTCTAGTGTTAATACCTGCAGTGAGAAAGGGATCGATTCAGCACTTGCTGTCAACTAGGAGTAACTTTTTAAGATACAAATCTAAAACTTAAACCAATGAAAAAGTCAAAGAATCACATGATATTTTATATTGAAGTCTTAAAATAGAAAAAAATATATATTATAATTAACATTTACATGTAGGATAACACATACATAATCTGGACTCAACCACTCACTCAAGACAGCAACAGAAAACAACAGGAGTAGACCAGACTATATCTTAAAAAAACTGTTCTCGAATTTCTTATTTGTCAAGATCTTGCAACAGGTTCAGAAAATGAACTGGCATTTCCCCAAGACTGTTTAGGATAAAAAAAATAACAATGAATTTGGGTATTAAAAGTATTGCAAGCACACCTTGAATACAAAGTAGATTTGCCAAAATTTCTAGCCCATTAATAATAGTTATTTCGTTGACTAATGTAATATACTGTGACAGGTATCAGTTTTGATACAGATCTCTTAAGATATAAATTGATAAAATCCAATATTCTACTGGCTAAATGTATCTAACTCTGCAGTGAAGCTCGCAATGGCAAACAGAATGGGAATATATGACTTACTAAAATATGAACGGAACGCCTCCATGGGTAAAGTTTAACGCGAAGAATGTTGATATATATACTTATATCAGAATCTTCTCGAGTTTGGACGAACCTAAATGTATATGTTCTTCAACTACAATGAGAGAGAATTGTTGTGTTCGTTTTGATCTCTTCAAATTAGGACTCAATGGCATACGATATTGGCTATATATCAAGAGTTGAAATAGCAACTGTGTATACTTTAAAATAGTTGTATTTAAATAGTTGTATTGAATTTAGATGTGTCAAATTGATTAAGCATGACCTCCAATTGACCCCCTGATCGGCCTAAGGGGTTATTAACAAAACTGTTCTAAAATCATCTAGTGTTGCATGAATGTAAGAGGTTTGGGAGTTGGGATGTGTCAAATTCTGGTTGGTTTAAAAAACGAAGAAAAAACAAAAATGAAAATAAATTGGAAGATACTCAGAAAGTCAGTTAAATCTTGGTTATCAATTAAAAATCGATTTTAAACTGTACAAAGCTGAAATCTTCAATGCGAATAAATTTAGATACATGTCATACTATCTATTAAGTTTGTATCGTTCTTGCATCAAACCTTTAGGGAAAAAACCAAAATAATCAGGTGAGGAATTTAAGGACTTATTGGCCCCTTGTTAGATTTGTTCATATTTTGTTGAAATAGCTTGACATGATGTAAATCATTTAAAAAGACGACAGAGGAAATAAATAAGAAAATAAAAGTTTAAAAATATTTTTGCCTTGACGACTGTATTTAATAATATACACAAAAACAGCTGCAGACGAAGGTCTCGTAACATATACATTGCTAATGGAATTGTGTTTACTCCTTTAAAAAAAAAAACAAAAAAAACCCATGAAAAGTACAACACACATAAAGTATAAACATTAAAGATCCGTTTTTGAAAACATCTTAATGATATCCACATGGAAAACCTTCAGTAATTTTTCTTTCAAAACCTTAATAGCAATGTTTATTTTTAAAACATTGGGATTCGTTTGAAGGTAGCGATCAATATTTTATGTTTGAAGGATGTTAATGTTTTATATTGAATTTAAATAGAAAACTGACAATTTTACAAAGCTTTACAGGGCGACAAAACCTTCTAGGTCACTTGATGAGACAGTCTGTCTTCGGGACTTTGACTTTATATACATATGTTATTCTTGGTCCAGAATCAACAAAAGGTAGTTTAAACTCATACAAATGACATTGGCTTACTCTCAAGGTTTCACAGGGTTCAAATATGTCTAAACATCAAACAAAACTTTGTAAAAACGCAGAAGGTCTTGAGTAATAATATTAAGGTTGGCTTTGTAGACCAGCAGTGTGGAATTTTTTTATTTTTATTTTTTATTTTTTTTTATTTTATTTTTTATATATAATGCATTTAGATAAAGGCCAACTTTGAATGTTGACCAGTGTCCACAAGATTAACAGCTTGAAGAATCTCCTTCTTTGGCTCCATAAGTCCCATGGTCATGGTTTGTAGACTAGAAGTTTGATTTTGTCTTAGTCCTTGGGTCAAAAACAAATTTGAACTAAGTGCTTAAAACAGTCCTATTATATAACAATGTGTATGCGTACTTAGCATGAAGATAGCAGTACACGTATACAAGCGGGATCAGCCCCGACATATGGCTATGTCAATATTGAACTGATGGCATACCTGCTTCAAAAAGCAAAACCCCGATATGAAAATTCCATTTTGATCAGATTATAATTCAGCATCTCGTTTTGTCTCAATATGCCGACAACGGGAGACCCAGGGATATAAGTTTAGATAAACAACACGAACTGCAAATGAAGACTAACAACGTAAATTCAGTAGGGTTTCCACAGCAATGCTTACGTTCAATGAGATGCCGGAGGCTTTTTTCTGCCAACTTCGCAGGATTGCCTATTTTCATCAAATTCGTTGATATGATTCGTAATTCAAAACATTTCAATCCATTTCTTTTAAGCTTTCATATTTTACCATATCCTTAAGCAGGGCTTAATACATATTCATGTTTCAGTTCATTTTAATCAATCTTTATTAAAAAAAAATGCTATGCCTTGATATTTTTATTTTAAGGTTCAGCAGTTCTTTGTTTCAATCAACAACTATAGCAAGTTTTTTAAACATGCGATCAATATGGCTCAAACGAATTTCACCGCGTGGAGGATGTCCGGATGGAAAAGTTCAATATTTAAATGTCTTTGTAAGGGACAGGAAGGGGAGAAGGGAACCTTGCAAATGATACA